ACAATATATATATGCATAAAATAGACAATAGGGTGGTGAAGGTTTGGGGTGGGGTGGGCTGGGGGGTCTCTAGCAGGGGTCAGTTGGGGGAAAAAGGGGACATATGTAATACTTTCAACTATCAGATTTTTTAAAAGCACTTTGTACATGTGTGATTACATTTGTAGCTCTCCCTGAAAATACAAGTTTAAGAATACTAACTTAAAAAGTAGTAGCCAGCCTGGTCAGCATGGCTCAGTGGTTGAGCATCAACCAATGAACCAAGAGGTCACAGGTTCGATTCCTGATCAAGGGCACATGCCCGGGTTATGGGCTTGATCCCCAGTAGGGGGAGTGCAGGAGGCAATCAATGTATGATTCTCTCTCATTATTGATATCTTTATCTCTTTCTCCCTCTCTTTTCCTCTCTAAAATCAATAAAAATATATTTTTTTATGAAAAAAAGTAGTATCCAAAAAAAAAATACAAGAAAACATAAACAAAAGAAAAAATATCGCATCTGTTCTTAGCAATCTCAAAACACCCTTTAGCTATATGAATAATAGCTTCATAACAAATTAATTCTTTCCTAACCACCAATGTTAATGCAAATTTGCTTAGCAGGTTAAATAGATCTGTGTCATATTTGCCACCCTATATAACACCATATACCCCCTCTAAAACCTCATTTGATCTGAGCCAACCCAATTCTCAATTTATTCCTCCATTCTGCCTAGGATGAGACAGGGCTGCAGTTGAAGGCTAACTGTAGGCTAATTGAGAGACATTCTGTTTGGTTGGTGTAGCATGGTAGTTGAGTGTCCACCTATGAACCAGGAGATCGCAGGTTCAATTCCTGGTTGGAGCACATGCCCGGGTTGTGGGCGTGGTCTCCAGTAGGGATCCTGCAGAAGACAGCTCATGGATCAATGATTCTCTCTCATTATTAATGTTTCTATGTCTCTCTCCCTCTCTATTCTTCTCTGAAATCAATAAAAACTTTTTTTTTTTAAAGAGACATCCTGCCTGCGGTGGATAACTTGATTCACTTCATTTACAAACACTACTGTAAATACCATTCCCAGCTATTTTATAAAATATAATATTTCTAGGAAATAAAATATCCCTTCCAATATTCATTTTTACTTAAAAGGAAATTATTAATCTGTCCCAATGAAAAGAAATAAGATGGCAAATAAAAGTACAGTAAACATTAAGATTGACAGTATTAGTTTTAAAAATCATCATCTATGATTTATTTATGTTTAAAATGTACTTCAGAAGTTTTTATGAGACTATTTATAGTCAACATATAATTTCAATGGAACTTTAAGCAATTACAGTTCAACTCGCTGTAGTATTAACTTTTCTTCTTTTCGGATTCCTCTGCCAATTTCAACTTTTCTTTTAATTCCTTCTGATCTCTGGAATACTGTTCAAATATTGGTTGAAAAATATATATCCCTCCAGCAATTCCAAGGATACCAGCAAAAAGCGCTTGTGGAAGAGTCACTCTCCCAAACATGTTTTTTAACAAATACCACACGGTACAAAGATGGTTTTGAAAAACTCCACCCCACTCAGGAAATCTCTTCAGATCTGTGTACAAAGAAAATGGAAAACAAAGCAATTAGTACAAGATACTTTTTAAAGATTTCAAGTCACTAGTTTGTTCCAGAGTGAACAGTGTTTCCTCATAATATGTAAATACTACTTATTGATTTAACTAAAATAGGAATACATATATTTAGGGAGTATGGAAAATGAGCATTAGGGGATGGTGTAAAAGCTATATCCTATGAGAGAATGTTCTCAATGGATAATTCAAAAGGGCAGAAGTGAGACAAGGTTGAGCCATATTCTTTATGCCTTTAAGGCATACCAGTCCGATCTGGAAGTAGGAGACAGAGTAATGTTACTTTTCATTATTAGCCCATCTTTACTATCATATTTTTGGCAATATGTATTATTAAATACAATGGTCTTTTAAAACAGGCTAAAAATTGCATGAATTTCCTTTGATGCTTTATTAAGTAGAAGCAGACATCAAATCTAAATCATTTGCCATCCATTTTTGACAAAAATATAACAGAGATTTGGATGGTTTTACTTCTAACAACAGAGGAGTTAAGACTGGCACTTCTTAGGAAAGTTATATTCCTTGCTGACATCTTAGTCTCTGGAGAAACTAGGTAGGTGTTTATGAGTGAGGAAAGCAGAGTAAAAGTTTTACATATCCCCATTATTTCATAGCCTCCTAGACCAACCCTGAAGGTCACAATCCCATTATTATAACAATATTTCATAGCCTCCTAGACCAACCCTGAAGGTCACAAAAATCATTAATGGCAGAAATGATACTAGAAACTAGCTTTCCCTTAATATCACTAAAATGTAATATAAACTAATCTGGGAAAGGAAAACCTGTTTTCTCCTGGACTCTACCATTAACTAGATAAATGAAAACGTTACCAATCATACTTTGAATCAATGTCTGCTAAGTGTTAAAAAAAAAAAAAAAAAAAGGAGCCATTTGCTCTTTGGAAAATCGATAATGACCCTTCTGCCACCAGCTGGCTAACTGACCCTGACCAAGTCATTTTACCTTTTTGAACCTCATTTTCCATATCCATGCAACAGGCTAAGTCATCTTTACCTTGCCTACTCCGTTCAACAGATAGTTATTGTGTGATCACCCAGACAGTGAAATGCTACATAAACACGTTTATAACGACCATTACAGGCATACCTCGGAGATATTGCAGGTTTGGTTCCAGGCCACCGCAGTAAAGGGACTATCACAATAAAGCAAGTCACACAAAGCTTTTGGTGTCCCAGTGCGTGTAAAAGTTGTATACACTATACTGAAGTCCAGTAAGTGTGCAACAGCATTATGTTAAAAAAAAAAAAAAGAAACAAGATACATACCTTAATTAAAAAATACTTTATTGCTAAAAAAAATGCTAACCGTCATCTGACCCTGCAGCGAGTCGTAATCTTTTTGCTGGCGGAGGGTCCTGCTTGGAAGTTGATGGCTGCTGACCGAGCAGGGTGGTGGCTGCTAGAGTCTGGGGCGGTCGGAGCCATTTCTTAAAATGCGTGAACAGGGCGGTCTGCTGCTGGGATTGCCTCTTCCTTTCGCGAAGGATTTCCCTATAGCACGCGATGCTGTTGGACAGCATTTTACCCGCTGCAGAACTTCTTTCAAAATTGGAGTCAATCCTCTCAAATCCTGCCGCGGCCTTGTCCACTAAGTTGATGTAATACTCTAAATCCTTCGTTGTCATTTCCACAATCTTCACCGCGTCTTCCCCGGGAGTAGGTTCCATCTCAAGGAGCCACTTCCTCTGCTCATCCACGAGCAGCAGCGCCTCGTCGTCGGCTAAGACACCGGTGGCTCCACCTTGAGCGTGTAGGTTCGGGAACCGGCTTCTCTCCTTGAACCTCTTGAACCAGCCTCTGCTGGCTTCGAACTTCTCTTCCGCGGCCCCGGCCCCCCTGGCGGCCTTCATGGAGTTGAAGAGCGTGAGGGCCTTGCTCTGGATCAGGCTCTGGCTCAAGGGGATGTTGTGGCTGGCCTGGTCCTCCATCCAGACCACGAGGACCTTCTCCATGTCGGCGATCAGGCTGTTGCGCTTGCGGATCATGCGCGTGTTCAGCGGCGTGGCGCTCTCCCGCTCCTTCAGGAACTTCTCCTTCGCGTTCACCACCTGGCTCACGGTTTGGCGCAGGAGCCCCAGCTTCCGGCCGATCTCGGCCTTCGACAGGCCTTCCTCGCTCAGCTTGATCATTTCCAGCTTCTGATTTAAGGTGAGAGACGTGCGACTCTTCCTTTCGCCTGGACACTTAGGGGCCATTGCCGGCTTACCCGCTGGCCCAGTTCCGATGTCGCTGTAAGTCAGGGAGTAGGAAGTCGGGCGGGAGGAGAGGGAGCCCGCTGGCGCAGAGCCTGGCTGGGGAGCAGCCAGAACACAAACATGTATCTACTAAGCTCGAAGTTCGTGGTCTTCTGTGAGTTTAGTTCTCAGCGCCCCGAAACAATTACAGTCGTAACATTGAAGATCACCGATCACAGATCCCAGTAACAAATATAACAACAATGAAAAAGTTTAGACTATTGCGAGTTACCTAAACGTGACACACAAAGTGAGCAAATGCTGTTAGAAAAATGGCGCTGGTAGACTTGCTCTTCACGGGGTTGCCAGAAACCTTCAAGTTGTAAAAAACCCAAAAAAGCAAAACCCGCAATATCTGCGAGGCGCAATAAAGCAGAGCGCAACGACACGAGGTATGCCTGTGCGCCTACCATTACCCTTCAGAAGTCTCCCCCGCTCGCTGCTCACTCCCGGCCACTGACCCCGCCTCCCGCCTGTCCGCGCAGAGGCGAGGTCCGACCATTATTCCAGCGGGTTCTCGTCTCCGGCGCACAGATCACCAAACCCAAAGGCGGCAGCAGCCCGGGCGGAAGGAAGTGCCTCCGGGAAAGTGTGGGCAGCCCTCGGCGAAGTTTAGCCGCCGGGCCCAAACCCGCAGCAGCCGGCGGCGAAGCCACTGCCCGGCGGAGTTGGCGAAAGTCGCCCTTTCCCGGCTCCCTCTGCGCCCGCCCGCCCGGCAGCT